CTCAGCCCCCGGGCCGCTGCGAGACCCGCTTCTCCGGCCGGGGCAGGCCGCTGTCGGCCCACACGGGCCGGATCTGAGGGGAAACGACCTGCCCGGGGCGGGGGGGGATCATCCTCGGAGATGTTTTAAGGGCACGGTCCTGCGCGGAGCCGAGGTGTGACCTCGCGAGGGCCCCGCCGCCGCCTTCCCTGCCACTGAGGATGCCCGGGCGCGGGCGGGTGGTCGGGTGGGGGGGTGCTGCTCCGCGCGCCACCGAGTCGGGAGGTGACATCCCTGAGCGGGGCCGGGTCCTCCTCCTCCTCCTAGGGCTGGTTGCGGGTCCACCACTTCTTTCCCCTCTTTTAAATGACGCTTCCTCAGCAGCCGTGGATCTTCATTTGGGTGCTGCCCTGCGAGGCAGGCGCACCTTCCTGCTCTCGCTCCATCCGGCCTCTTGAAATACCGCTTTGCAGCTGTGAACCACGACAAGCCTGCGTGTGGGTGCGAGGCAGGCGCGCGGGTGGGGGAAGCCAGGCTTTCCAAGGTCGCACACCTTGGAGGGGAATTCGGTTTGAATGCTCCTGGCGACCGGAGCGCTAATCCTTCTTTCCCGGCAAAAATGCAAGCAGCTACGTGCTGTCTAAATCCATTTGATTTTAGTGCTTTACTGTTTGCCTTGAACTCCTGCCTAGTATTACAGGCAGTCCTCGGACACGACTGGTTCCTGAAAACCGTGTCTTAAGTCGAAATGTTGTGACTCGGAACTGATTTTTTCCAATAGGAAACAATGTTATAAATGGGGGATTGGTTCCTGAACCAAGGGTACCCTATTTTCATGAAAAATAACCCAAAATTTTGTATTCAGTCAGTTATAGATGAGTAATATAGCTACATCAAGGTAAATAGCAATCATATTGATTTGGAAGGACTTCTTTGAGGTGACTTTGCTGGACTTTCTGAAGGGCTCTTGGCTGGAGTCTCCTCCGGGGTCTTGGTGCAGGTTTTTGCTTTCTTAAAGAAAGTGTCCAAGGAAGTTTGGACAGATGTTCTTCAGGGAGATAGGTGACACCGCGAACTTGTTCGCTGGCTTGGCGTCTCATCGAATCAAGCGTTGTAAAGTTGAAACTGGGGTCAGAAAGTTGAAATAGGGTGTCAATTTATAAAGGTTGTAATTGCGAAACGTTGTAAGTTGAGGACTGCCTGTACAGCGCTGTTTGCATGTTAGCTATGTCTTTGCTTCAGTTGGTGCTCCAGTGCCTGAGCTAACTTTAAGTAGCTAGCTAAGGGAGTGGTATTGGTTGAATACTCGCCGCTGAATGGGGTGAGTATTCACCGTTTGCATGGTGAGACCGCTGCAGGTACACAAGTTAGTTATCGTGAAGCTAGGTTAGCTGCGTCTCTGCTACCCGCAGTTCAAACAGTACAGACACCCCCATGGGTATCTGCATTTCTGCAGTGGGTGCAGTGATTCCTACCTCTGCTCTTGTGTAAGATTATAAAAGTGCAAGCATTTTCAAGTCCTCGGATAAGAGATATTTGCCACGAACTGCTCTGCTATGCTCATGCTCCTCTGTTAAGGTTTACACCTTGAAGCAGGCTCTGGTCTGAGTGATTGCTGTTTTATTACAGGGGTCCCAACCCAGATCTGGGCTGTGTTTTATGGAGAGACGGTCCGTATTTTGGAGCGTTTAGAATCTAAGCGGGCAAAACCTTGCAGGCGGAGACGGGTGAATTGACTCGCTCTAGGTCACAGCCTCTCAGTAACTGAGAAAAATACAGTCCAAGTCTGACTCCAGCCCTGTGCTCTGCCCATCAAATCACAGATGCTCTTGCTAGTACATGATATTTTTCATAGAGTTTGATAGCAGCTCTGTGGAACTAAGACTTAACGTATTTGGATAGAGGTATTTATATAAGCTGAGCATGACTGCCCAAACCTTACAGATCATAGGGAAGCGGGGCTGGAAGGGACCTCCAGAGGTCATCTAGGCCAATCCCCTGCCTGAGGCAGGATCATCCCTATCCAAACTATCCTATACAAATCCATTGTCTAACGTCTTTACAAAACTACACAGTCAACCCTGACACACGAGGCATGATTATGTGCAATTTTAATCTTTTATATACCAAAATGGATGGACCACCAGTAAATGCTTCTTGGAACTCTGCTGCAATTAGGAGCTGTGCTCTGTCAATGCCATCTTGTTAGAACTCTTTCAAGGGAATCCAGTCATTTCCATCACTTCAGAGGAGTACATGTGTTCATTAGTTCAGTTTTGCAGGAGCAGTAAAGGCTTTTTAAAAATTGGTTCTTTCCTTAGAGAGGACCCGGTTCTAAATGCAACAGATGCTTTTAACTTGTTCTCCTGTGAATCTTGACTTGATTTTGTGCACTTACCACAACATAGGCACTATCGGAAGCGCTCCGCTTCACGGGGACGTTCTGGCAGCCGCTCCAGGAGTCGTTCTCCATCCGACAAAAGAGCAAAACGCGGAGAAGACAGACGTTCTAGAAGCAGAGAACGAGAACGTCGGCGCGAGAGGTCACGCAGCAGGGACAAGAGGAGATCAAGGTCACGGGAGAGGAAGCGCCCAAGGTACACGTTGCAGTACGTCTTTAAGAAAGTGAATCAAAGTATCTGCCCTTCTGTGAGGGATGTTCTACCTGTGATGTTTCACTTGCTGTGGTTACTTGTCATGGCTGCCTCTGGCAGGTGTGAAATTAGGTAAAGCGTTGGCTAGTAAGTGTCACACGGGTTAAGTTTATCACCCAGTGGAAAAATATACTGTAGCTGGATTTTGTAACTCTGTTTCTGGTCTTCATGGTTCTTAGCTTCCTTTGGCAGGGCACTGCTGAAAATGATTTTTCCTTCCCCCCACTTCTTAACAGGCCAACTTACGTCATGTTTTCCTCAACACAAGTATGTTTTTATATTTAAAAAAAAATGACAGCCATGTGTATGGAATGCTAAATAAAACATTTTTTTCTCCTGCGGCAGACGGTCCAGAAGCAGAGAGCGAGAACGGAGCAGAGAGAGGAGAAGAACACGGAGTCGGGATAGGAGACGATCCAGAAGCAGAAGTAGAGGTAGACGGTCCCGAACCCCCAGTCCTGGCAAGAACAAGAAAACAGAAAACAGGTACTAGCATTCACTGATATAACTGCTGTCCCAGTAACAAGGCATGATGAAAACTTACCATAGTCTCTGTTTCTGCAGGTCCTGGCTATAGTTGCCAGATAGAGGATTTAGCTAATATTAAATGAGTTTGCCTCTTCCTGTAATTATTCTTTTAGTCAGGAAACTTTTTTTTTTACTGTTAACAATGGCATGCAGAGGTCTTTTCCCAGGAGAGATCTCCTTTCCTTATGTGTAAGTTTGCAAAAGGACACTGAGTCTTTCATCCAAGTGACTGACAGCCCCTTTGTATGTTGCATAGTTATATTTGTTTTACAAATCCATGACCTCATCAGCTTCTTAAGCTATTGGCAGCTGTTAGAGGATCTTCCCAGATAATTAACTGTCACTGGTCCAGAAATGTACTCAGAAAGCCCATGCAGAGGGCTAGTTCATGCATTAGGTTAATCTTTCAGTTGCAGAAACTGAAATGGACTCATTTCTCTTCTGTGGACATTGGTCCTCAGTAATCAGAGAGAGAGAGAATCCAGTGGAAACCCTCCACATTTGTTGGAGAATAAAATAGGCCATCTGGAAAGATTTAACACATTTGGCAAAAAAGGTAATATTATTTAATGCTTGCCATTATTGTATTTTGTAGACATGGCATATCTTTATAAGGGGCAGCAAGCTTCTAATGAGGACATATTTGCTCCCTGCCAGTTGCTGACTTCATCTGGGATGTGGGCTGTATTTCTGGCTCTATTGTCAACTTAGTTTGTCCCCTCTGAAAAGTCAGTTGAACTCTGTTTCTCATGATCAATATTAAAATTCAAAAGGTTTTGTGAAAAATAATTTGTAATCATAAATTCTTGGATGATTGGCATTTGATCTGTCACATAATTCACCCCAAGTACTGGTTCCCACTTATGAATTGTTTGACTCCTTCTTCCCACTGTTCTCTTGCAGATTGATTATTTATTTTGGAGATGTATATATTTTTCTTTTAATAACGGGATGAGAGGCATTAATAGCAATGGATTCAGAATAGTAATGAAAGAAGAGGCAGGGTTTCTCACACTGTTGTTGTGTGTGCCAGTAGTGATACCTGAGCTTGACATTTCAGCAGTTTTTTGAGAAGGTGGTATGTGAACCAGTAGTATTTGAGAGCTGTTTTTCTGTGGTATCCATGCCAATAGATAAGTCTGTGGTATAACACATTGGAGAAATCCATGATATAGGCTAGGATCAAACTTGTACATGTTTCTTAACTGTTTGTTGAACACTGCCTGTGTGCTCAGCACCAAGTAGAACAGGGGTGCCACAAATGGCATGGGCAGCCTCTGTCTGTGGCACACTGGACCAGGGAGGGGACAGGCAACACAGTGGAAGATAAGGCAGGAAGCAGAAGACATAGCAGCATATTGGACAGAGGAATGGGATCAGAGAGACATTTGGGGAGGGTGTGGGGCTAATTTGTGGCATGCCTGCCATAAAGGTTGGCCCCCACTGATATAGAACATGAATTAGACAAGGGCCCTACCATTGGGAGTTTACATTCAAATGAACTGACTACTAAATAGTCACAGTGAAGTGGTGAAGTTTGATCTCTTTTTACACTGGGTTAGAAATAAAGTAAAACTTAACTTCAGGTCATTTGCCATTTTAAATAACTTCTTACTGGAATTTACAGTATAATTGCAAAGAGTCAAGTTGTAAAATAATTTAAAAGCATGTAAACTGTCACGCTGATGTTTATATAGAATAAGCAGGTTGATGACAATCCAGTATTTTAATCATGAGATCACAAGAATTGTACTTGGAGAAGTTGGAATGACATAAAATGTCTTGTAAAATAAGCATATGGTTTGCATTAAAATAGCCCAGTGGGCTATGAAAAACCTTAATAAGATTTAATTGAGTAAAAGGAATTTTACATTTATTATTCTGAGTTTAGATGTTTAGATTGGAGTCATCTACTTTTTATTGGGAGGAGGTAGGCACAGTAAAATTTGTGATAAATGGATTTAATATCAAATGCATGTCTGTGTGTTGCATTCAGTTTATAGGTAGCCTTTCCTGGAGGGGAGGTGTTTTTATGTCTTTCAGGCAGTAGCCTATCCTCAGGGGGAACTTGCATTTCTAGGGCAAAGTGCTAGATCACTTTGCCATTAGAAGTGTAACAGGCAAGAATTTCTGAGTATCTGTATTCTAACTGCTGTATTCAAAGAGGTGTAAAATAAACTGTGGAGCCACTAGAGTATCAACTGTAAGTGTTTGGAAACGAAGTCTGCAACTTCCTCCCAGAAATAAATGAGAAGAACAGAACCAGAGTGTATGAATCAATGGGTCCTAATAGATTCTACATATCTGGCAGTTATGGGAATTATTTCCATGAAATGGAGAGATTTGCTGTGAAGTGATACATACTCTCAAAAGCATTTAAAAAGTATAAGCCTATGCATAGTGTTAATGGCAGTGATTCTGTCCAGCAGAAAAAGAAAAGCTGGAACACTTTGTGAAAGTCTGTCATACATCTTTGATTTTCCCCTTTCAGATCAAGATCTAAAGAAAAGACAGAAGGTGTAGAAGTTTCCAAGGAAAAGAAAAAAGAGAAAGAGGACAAAGAAGAAGAAAAGGATAAAGAGGTTAATGTATGTATAAATCTGCCACTGAGAGAGAAACTTGTATCAGTTAAACAGGAGCTTTCATAAACGCTGTAGCATTAGAATACATTTAGATAGGATTTATTGTAATTGGAAAGAAAAACAACTTCAGATAATCCCTTTTTAGGTCTGGGCAATGTTCTTGTGAGTGTGAGGGGGTTAATTACTGTAGCTTGGGTAGTAGGATGGACTCCTACTATTTGACATAAACATTTTCCCCTTAAGGCTGACCACCTCAGCCTACTGGATGCAAACTTACCAGCTGGTTGTGAGCTCATTATGTCACTTTCTTGTGATTGACTGAGGAGCTGAAAAGTAACCCAGAAAGAGACCAGGGAAGAAGAGGAAGGAGCTCAATCCACTGCTGTTATTTTCCCAAGCCTAGAGCACCTCTCCAGTTATGGACACTGCTCCTTTCCAGGGGAAAGAAACTGTCTCAAGGGCAACCCTCTATCTTTGTACGTCAGCACCAGAGCCCTAAAACCAGAATCCCCACCCAACCTATTCCACAACATGTGCTTCCTCCACCAGCACTCTGACCTCAGACTCCTCTATCCATAAACTAGTCAGAGCTGCTTTTTTTAATTCAAAGGATTATGGGAAATAGTGGATGGTAAGAGAACTCTTTTGGCCTTTTACTGGCTCACAGACCAAAAAAGGAAAAAGGTTGAGAACTATTGCTGTAGTATACTTTTCCTAAATGACTGAGCAACTGGTTCAGGAGTATTGGTTTGGAAAGATCTATCCGTAGGACCATCTGGCACTAGATGTGATGTTTTATATTCAAGTGTTACAGTTAACATCAGTATTTTCTTTCCTTCTATAATAAGTTTAACTTCTGTTGATATAGGTTTTATGGAGGCCAGACTTGCATCCCGTATTTCCAGTAAAACTGCCACTGATCTGATGGCGAGTTGTATGAAGGAGTGCAGGATCAGAGCAATAATCTTTGAGTTGGTTGTTTTTTTCTCTCAGAACTTTGATCAGAACAAACTGGAGGAGGAAATGAGAAAAAGAAAAGAGAGAGTAGAGAAATGGAGGGAAGAACAGCGCAAGAAGGCTATGGAAAACATCGGAGAACTGAAAAAAGAAATTGAAGAAATGAAACAGGGGAAAAAATGGAGCTTAGAAGATGATGATGGTATTTTAAAATTTTGATTTTACATAATAATTAAACAAAGTCAGCTTTTACCCCTAACAATAAACTTAGCTTTGTATTGTTTCATTTGATTTTAAAATTTCTCAGCTACTTTTGTTGAATGTGTTGTAGTGAAATAGTTTTGTTCATGGCCACAAACAGTTAGGAAACAATAAATGAGACCAGCAAGCTCTGGTTTTGGGAATGGAAGAAAGGACAGAGTTAACCCACCAATTATTGGGCAGCTATACAAGTTAGTTATGTGACATAATGAGCAGTTCACTGACATATGTGGATATATTTTTTTTTCTTTTTCCCCTTCTCTCCCAGTTTTTTTTTAAAAAAAGCTTCAAATGCTGTGGTTTCAGCACTTGTTTGTGAACTGACAATTGCTACTTTTCTAACCACACTAAACTTGTAGCTAAATGGACCAGGTACTGATGACCTCCTGTCTTAGCACAGCAAATTTCATCCTCTGCCATGTGTCATTTTCAGGCCCAGGAGAATCTTCCACTTGCATATCACCAGGGAAGGAATGTACATTGCTCTAAATGTTGATTTCTGGATTTAGAGTTCTGGCTTCTGGGGTTGTGGAGGCATGCTGGCTATGCTGGCACCCCAGATGTGGTGTTTGTTTTTCCAGGGCTTGTTTTGCCATGGAGAGGAGTCCATGTGTAGTACCTGTGGTGAGCGGTGGCTCAGTATTTTGGGGTTCCTGCAACTGGTGTCCAAGTCCTTGGATGGCATAAGGAAGAATCCTTTTCCTGGGCTGATCTTTGGCCCACGGTTCCTTTTTTACCTCCCAGTCAGGCTGACCTTTGAAAGAGATTTTTCACCTATCCTCATGGTATTCTGTGCATTATACCTTTTACAATAAATGCTTCCCAGTTGTTGAGCTTTCGCCTTTATTAAGATTCCATAAATCTGCATTATACTAAACCATAACAAAATCCCCACACTGTTTCTTTTTTAAACAAAAACATCCAATAGGAAAAAATATTTCTCTCCCTCTAACTAGATGATGAGGAGGAAACTGCAGAAGGAGAAAAAGAAGGCATGGAGGTGGAAGATGAAGAATTAGACCCTCTGGATGCTTACATGGAAGAAGTTAAAGAAGAGGTCAAAAAGTTCAATATGAGAAGTGTGAAGGGTGGAGGTGGGAGTGAAAAGGTAAAATAGGTTCATTTTCTTGTGTTTCCGTCTTCTCGAGCATAGTGCTAACATTATGATGTAGGAAAATGCTGTTGAAAAATACATTTCAGGGGAAAAAAAACCATTCCAACAAGCAAGAGCTAAATAATGGTACCTGCTCACCTTAACCCTAGTCTCCACAAATTAGATTTTTAATATTAACCCTATTGAAGTTTCATCTGAAGAACTAGGAGCAAAGTTGAGCTAATGCATTTGGAAGTATACAGAATTGTTATATTTTGCACAGCATATTTCGGTGGTACATGTAATATAATGGTTTTCTTTAACTATTTTGCTAGAAATCTGGACCAACTGTTACCAAAGTAGTGACTGTGGTGACAACCAAAAAGGCAGCTGTAGAATCAGAAAAGAAGAAAGGGGAGCTGATGGAGAATGACCAAGATGCAATGGAGGTAATTGGAAAGTGTTTGGTGTCTCCTGGGAAAAGGGGTTTTTGTCTTAGAAAAAGAAGTCCCAGTATATTAGGCATGTGGATAGTCTTGCTGACTTGGCTGGACTGCTCGAAGCTAGGCAGAATGTACCTGACCATGTATAATATCCATCAGTGCTGTAGTTTAAAATAACAAAAAGAACCACGCTTGCATGTTCTTATGCAGACAGTTGTTTGGAAGGTTTGGGTTGTTTAGCGTGCTGACTGTTTGATATAATTGGGAGTTGAGATATTCACGTGAGTGAACTTAGCTGACCTGACACATAGCTAATAAGATGTGTGTATGAGGGTAATTTGTCTTGTGAATGGTAGTTGTACATCTGACTAGTAATTTATCTATGTTGCTGTTTTGTCTGGGTGTTCAGTTAGGACCGCTAGGAGTGTAGCTGTAGCAGCTCAGAACTCAGCAAGATATGTAAGGTCTACTTGTTAGGCCGGGTAAGTACCTTGGGCAGTTAGCCTATGCTGAACTCTGCTATGGCAGAGTTGACACATGCATGTAGCTTAGAGTTGGCTTCTGTGTGCCTTCATGAATTGCAATCACCCCAGGGTTTGCAGCAGGGACATAAATCTGTCAGCTGTGGGTGGTCTGTAGAGCTTGAAAAGCCAACTGTCCTAGCTGGGTTTGAGAGAAAGATAACGTTCTCTTACTGTGTCAGTGAGCTAAACATATGCTTCTAGAAGGTTTTTACTAAATAAATTGCTATATGATTTAAAACGTATTCTTTAGTATTCTTCAGAAGAGGAAGAAGTTGATCTTCAGACTGCCTTAACAGGCTATCAGACCAAACAGAGGAAGTTGCTAGAACCAGTGGATCATGGAAAGATAGAGTATGAGCCCTTCAGGAAAAATTTCTACGTTGAAGTTCCAGAGCTTGCTAAAATGACCCCAGAAGGTAATGACAGATGATAATGGAGCATTTTAGGATATTTGCAATGAAAGAAAATGTCTGTGAAACGTTGTTGTGTAAGGCACCAGTGAATTCTCTAGGTCTTACCCTTTCCACGTAAAGCAAAAATGTAGTGAACCATTGGGAAACGATCTACAGACAGTAATCTGAGAATAGCTGGCTTCAGAGCAACCCAATTATGAGCTACAGAGAAGAATTGAAGGACAAAAGGGAGATCCTGGAGACTGATCTGGCAGGGCAGGGAAGGAGTGAAGTTGAAACAACTGAGATCAGTGGTTGTTATGGATTATTTCATGTTGTCATGTTTGTGGGCTGCCCATTGTCAGTGTAATATGGTTTCTTGTACAGACCCCGCATCTGTGTCTCTGGCAGGCTAAATTTTGTTTCTATGCTGCAAAAAATCTGTCACCTTTTTAGACTGCAGGTTTCAAGCAGACTGAGAAGGATATTGAGAAATGCTTAGAACAGTGGTTCTCAACTGTGGTGCTGCAAGAACTTGCCAGAGGTGCTGCAACGCTGGGGAGGAACTGCCCTGTGTACCTAGACATGTCACAGCTAAACCAGGAAGAGCTGCACAGAAAGGCATGACTGTCTGCATTGCATTAGGCAGATGTGCCGTTTCTCCTGCAGCTTTTCCTGGTTGGGCTTTCCAAAAAACTGAGATGCATGGCAGTTCTACCTGATGGCTGGCAGCAGCATCTGTCTCCAGGCTGCTGCCACCATGGAGGGAAACTGCCCCGTGCGCCTTGGTTTGCAGAAGGCAGATCAGAGCTGCACTGGGAAGAGCCGCAGGAGAATTAGGGTGCCTGCCTGATGCAGTACAGGCAGGTGCATTTCTGTTGCAGCCAGTTCTCAGTTTGGTCTAAATGTGCCTCCTGAAAACTGAGGTACACTGCATGGTGTCACCCCGCAGCAGTGTCAGTGTCAGTGCCATGGCACGCCCTGGTGTTTCCTCTCCACCTTCGCGTATCCTACTGTCTACCCCCTGCTACTCCCACCCCCTCAGTGCTCTCCATGTGCTGCATGTGTAGCCCAGTGTCTTGTCCCTGCTGGCTGTCCCCCCAGACTCTGTCTGTTAGGTCTGGAGTTCAAGGCAGGTTGCGGTGGGGATCTAAAGGAAGAACTTGCCCCACTGGTTCCTGATTCTCATCAGTGACTTGGAGCCGTATGTGGGGAGTCCACTGCTGTCCTGGGAGCAAGCATGCACTGGGCCAGGTTGAGCTAGTGGGGCTTTCCCTGCCACCAGCCGATGGGGTGAATATAATAAAAATCAGTTAACAACATATCGATTCATTATTGAATGCAGATGTTTATATTGTAATATCCATAATATGTTAGTTTCTAAAATGGTGTGCTGCTACATTCTGAAAAGTTCTGGGGGGGCTGTTTTGAGTCTAGAAATCCCACTTGCTTAGAGTTTGTTTAATTGTATATTAATGTGCATTTCAGAGGTGAATGTGTACAGGCTGGAAATGGAGGGAATTACAGTCAAGGGGAAAGGCTGCCCCAAACCAATCAAAACCTGGGTACAATGTGGTATTTCTATGAAAATTCTCAATTCCCTCAAAAAGTAAGTGAGAAATTTATCAACAAAAAATATCTATAGTTTATGTTCTTTTGTGTCTACAGGGAATGAGGTCTTCAGGCCAAGGTGTTACAGTTTGACTCTCTCTTTTTCTCATTGTACATTAACCCTTAGGAGGTATTTAAAAATTGTTTGGTAGGTGCTCACTTAGGATCGGTGTATTGGACAGTTATTAGGAACTAGTCTTTCCCATCAATTATGTAACACATTTTTAAGTTCTCTATTTTTGTGCTGTATTTTTGCATGCCACCGAGACTTCTGCTTAAGTAGAACATAGAAATCTTTCCAGCAAAAGTATATGCGATTTATATCATTCACAACATTCTTTTGTTCTAACTGTGCTTTGTTTTTCTCTCTTGAAGACATGGCTATGAAAAGCCCACACCCATCCAAGCCCAGGCTATCCCAGCAATTATGAATGGACGTGACCTGATTGGCATTGCTAAAACAGGAAGTGGAAAGACCATTGCATTTCTTTTGCCTATGTTCAGGCATATTATGGATCAGAGGTCGTTAGAAGAAGGAGAAGGTCCAATAGGTACATATCTTTTGTTTTCAGATAGTGACACATTTATGCTTTTTTTTAAAGTTAGGTATGTTGATGTTTAAAAAACTGCATTGGGCTAATTCACTAATGAGATCTGTGTGTATTGTAAATAATCTAGTTATGGTTAAGAAATACCATGACCAGTAAAAATGCATTCAGGTGTTTTAAATGCCATTTACCAATGTGCAATTTGGGGGCTACTTTCTGTTTTCCACAGATAGGCATGTGGATAGTCTTGCTAACTTGGTTGGACTCTTCAGAGTTCTAGAAGAACCAGCCAAAAATATCTTTTCTCTCAGTACAGCTCAGTGTTTAAGCTTTGAGCTGGCAGGTGAAATTACTGTGCATCTGTCTCCATTCCCCTCCCCTCCCCCCCCCAACATATACCTTACTTATAACAGCTTAGCATGAGGAATGACAGGGAAATTTGCTGCTTTATATTTTTTCACTGGATGTGGGACCGGGGCTGACTTATGACTGTAAGTCAGCTTCGGTCTCTTGCTTGGTTTCAGGATATGAAGTACAGAACTCTTGATCTGTTTTGTCGGATTTTTTTTGCGCACACAGCAAGGTCTTAAGAGAGGTCTTCACTTCCTCTCTTGGAGATTTATTTCAGAACTATCTGCTAGCCCTGAGAGACATTTCTTTGCTCGTAACCATTGAAGATTCTGTCATTTCAGCAAGCCACTTGCTACTTTTGTGGTGTGATTTATCCATTAGGAACATTTGCATTAGAGTCGACAGCACGTTTCCATATGTTGGAGAGGAAGAATTTTCTTTCATGTTACTGGAGATCTGGTCATGTTTTTTTTCTTTCCTCCATCACAGGCTCAACTACTGCAGTGCTCTTGAAATAAGGGTTTTAAACTGGACACAAAAGTAAATTGCATTAAAATTGTATTACTGTACTGGGGGTGGTTAAAACGTCACTATAAAATATTTTGTTTTACTGTGTCATTAATAGCATCAATTACATTTCTTGTTCTGTGGGTTCTAATATTTTTCTTTTTCAGCTGTTATCATGACCCCGACTCGAGAGTTGGCTTTGCAGATTACCAAGGAGTGTAAGAAGTTCTCAAAGACTCTGGGACTTAGAGTTGTGTGTGTCTATGGAGGAACAGGAATCAGTGAGCAGGTACACACTATTTTATTTGTAAGCATTTCTTGACACTCATCAGTTAACATCCTTTCATATAAATCCAGTATTGCTCTGAGCTCGCCTTTTTGCTTTTCTATAGGTATCAGTATCTTAGAAGTAAATAGCCATCCTTGAAAGTCTAGTTTTAACAATCCCTTGCTTCTTCATATACATATAACTGTGTTCTACAAGCCAGTTTGCTTCAAGTCTCTCATATATAGTTCCCAGGGTTGCAGATATTTTCGTATATGAAGTTGGGCAGTACTTAAAGAATTTGTGCAATGTAACAATTCGAAATATCATATTAAGGGCTTCTATGGTTTCACCTCCAGAAGTTCCCTAATTTTTATTAATGCCTCAAATGCGCCCCCCCCCCCCCCCCCCCCCTCTCT